TGCTACTGATACTAGTCATAGTATCTGAAATAATTACAACGCAAAGTAATTTAATGTAATTTCTCCTATTATAAACATCCAGTCACTGAAAATAATGTGCTTCTTTTATTTCCCCAAAGTACTTTTCTACTTTAAGATGATATTTGATTATATTATTGAGTAAGTAGAGTGATGGAGAAATTATAGGAATAAATTAACTGCTAAATTCTTTGAAACAAGACCCATCAATATCAGGAGCAGAAACTCACAATATCTTGTCTCCTTGTAGGCTATAACATAGTTCTGAGTCTCTGCTTATTAAGTGTCTTTAGTAAAACTATGTGAGGTCTGGCCATGTACAACCCACTTATAGCTGTAACATCTAAAGACCTAACGTTTTCCCATAAGATTCTGTGAAAATACCATCACATGCAGTGCCCAAAATACAGTTACTACTGCAAAAGAGATAACTGAGAATTCTTTTTCTCCCTCTCTCCCTGGTCTTCAACACTCCCTGTAGTGGCTTTATCAAGGGGTAACAAGGACATACCAAGCAGGTCTTCTAACCAATAACTTATTCACTTTAAAAATCAGTAGTGTATGGACTAAAGTAGGGCGAATGTGCTTACTTTTGGGTTGCTGCAGCCAGCCAAATGGCTGCTCGTACGCATAATGAGTAACTGGCTTTTTGAAATCAATATGCCCATAGAACTGTGTGGGCAGTTACTGATACTATAAAAGTACCTTTGATCCAAACAGGCTGAAACATACACATGTAGCAAGGAGCTATCTGGAGGCTGAAACCACCTTCTGCATTTCATGCCAACTGGAAGTAAGGAAGAGGAGAGAGAGGCAGATTTTTTTTTCCCTAAGAAAATCCTGGGAAGTCAGTCTTTCTATAGTTACCATCTTGAAGGCAAAATGTCAAAAACAGAAACACAGGGAACTGTTACTTAATGTAAATGAAACAGAAATGGTAAAGAAAAAAAAAGAATAAAAGAAAAGAGTAACTGTGTTGTTATGAGTTGGTAAGGAAGGACAATGTCTCATAAAATAAACAGCTAAACTTTCTATGTGTCCGTAACATATACTTTTGGACCAGTTGTGTGACATAAAAACAGATAAAGCATTTATTTTTAGATACCAAATAATTGGAAAATTCAAAAAAATAAAGGATTGCTTGTAAAATTGGCTATTAAATCACCTATTTTAAAGTACAATATTAACAATCAATGACCCACCTTCAGGTCACACTTTCAGCTATTAAATGTATTGAGATAGACTTCTGAAATACTGTTTATGGGAAAATTTAACTAAGCTACATATGCAAGCAATAATTCTTTTCCCCATATATGATGTAAACAGAAGCTATGCAAATGAGTCATTATCTTCTCCAGTTTATATCCTCTACAGTCTTTTTGCTATTCCACAATGCCATGACTTAACACCTGACTTGAATGACTAAGAATATAAAACATCACCCTGCACTCTATGAGCACCAACAGAGCATGTTATGAAGCAAATGATATTCAAATAAAATAAGTTTCTTGAGTCATTTTCATTGGAATCTCACATCCACTTCTCTCCAAAATAATAAAAGAGAAGATACAAATAAAAACTTATTCATTGCTTTTCTGTTATTGACAACATAATTACAATTGAAACCATTGCCTTCTATATCATATAGACCTTATGAGAAAGCCACTAATAGATTTTATATGTATACTTCAATTAATATGGTATTTAAATATTTAAAAAATGTTTTGCAAATATTCCGTGATTACCTTTAATGGAAAAAAACAATGGGAGCTATTTTGACACTATTAAAAAAGAAAATATAGATATTATGGTGTCAAAAGTATATGCAATTTTCCTGGTCTTTACAAAGTTCACATTCATTTATTATCTGTGGGGGGGGGGTGTTTTGTCTGTATGTATATGGTGCACCATGTGCATGCCTTGTTCATACAGAGTTCAGAAAAGGGTGATGGATCCCCTGGAACTATAGTTACCCATGATTGTGAGCCACCATGTGGGTGCTAGGAATTGAATTCAAGTCTTCTGCAAGAGTAGTGAGTGTTTTTTAGAAGCCGAGCCATCTCTCCAGCCTCAGTCCCTGGTCTTCTTTTAAAGTAGGGCTAGGTACAAAACCTTTGAAGGAGGTTGGGTGCACCAGAGGTAAGAAGGCTCCTGCTTAATTAGCTTCAAGAGACAAGCACTGATAGTTCTCTGACTTTGCTGTAAGATGGTGAACCGTGGTTACTACAAACCAAAGGCTCCCTCCACTTGTTAGTCCCCTGACCACATCAGTTATAAGGTAAGAGAAGCTCACTTTCTTAGCATCTCATTCACCTGTAAATTGAGATGCTAAGGGAGATTGCCAAGGGCTGATCCCAGTTTATGTGGAATTCTGTTAGGGAACCAGCTTCATGGAAACCATCTGCGGCTGTTCAAAAGGCAATTAAGGAAACAATCTAAGCAGACACAGAAGGCAATCTGAAAAACAATGTTTTTACATGCATACGTTAGTGTTGTAGAAACTGCAGAGCGTGGATAACTAACCCAGCCCGCTGTCCTGACCCTGCGTCCACAGGGCTGGGGAGCAAACACGCCCTGACTGTGGGTATGCGCTCCTGATCTTCCAAGTGGAGCTGGACACAGCCATGTTTGCTAGGACAAATGTTCAATCTCCTGATGAAAGACAAACACAGGACCTGCTGCGTGCTGAGCAACCCACCTTTTGTAAGGGTCACTTGGAATCAAAGGGGAGAGTGTAAGGCTTTAAAAGAAGAGACAAAATAGCATTGTTAGAATGTCAGTCACCGGAAATATTTATAAATGTGTGAGGAGAATAAAATTGTACCTAACCTTTGGAAATCTTCACTCGATGTTTTAAAAGTTGCATATTTGAGGCTTTGTGTACTAAACAAAGAATATTTGAAAATAAAATAGTGTATATCTTAAACCGTTTAGACTGCATTTAGCTTTGTGTTATAGTAATCAAATCATGTTTTTATGTAAGCATTCAAGTATGTACACCAGCACAAAAAAATTAACGCATGTAATCGCATGTGCATATACATACATTAATCTAAAATATGAGAAAAATATCCTTGTATAAAAACACACATTACAGATGTTCAGGGGTATTTCTGAATAAAAAGTTTTATATGCTCTCACTAAAGCAATTATAAACATGAATTTCATGATTAAAGAAACACTGTTTTTCTCTAATGGTATAACTTCAGAATAGCAGAAATACTATTTTTTTATGCTTGGTTAAAATGATATTACAATAGCATAATAAATTTAATAACATAAAACAATTTTAGAAACAAAGAGGAGGGATGATAAAGTATATCCTGACTAGCTTGCCCAAGGAAAGACAAGCAAGTGCAACTAACACAATGAAACCAACCAGCCAGGGAATGCATTAGCCTCACGGAGAACAAAGGACGCAGAACCTTCTCCGTGGCTTCACTCCGCTTCATAACTAAGCAGAAGGTCCTGCCTTAATAAATCTCATGGGTCTAGTATAAAAATAACAGTATAAAATATGCACCTCTAGCTATATCTGCTAGAGATAGCTGTCCACAGATGAACACTATATTGGTTCTAGAGACTAGACGTAAGGTTTTGAAAAGCCCATGTTAGTAAAAACAGAAGGAATTGCAACTCACCTAGGGAGATAACACTTGGTTTGGCCTTTAACCAAAAACAAAAAAAAAGGAGAAAGAAAGAAAGAAAGAAAGAAAGAAAGAAAGAAAGAAAGAAAGAAAGAAAGAAAGAAA